ACAGGAGGGCATCACCAGGCTGCCCGTGGAAGCAAGCAAAGAGCCTGCTTATGTATCCAGGAGAGAAGTGTGGCCAGGGTATCCTGCCAGTCATAGCCCTCCATTCAAATTAAGGTTGTGTTTGATCCCATGGGGCCTGTAGCACCCTCTCTGCCTGGGGTGGGAATGGTTGCTTCCTAGGCATGAGACTGGGGAATAGGGGTGGTACAGCAGGTAGCTCTTGGTAGTTTAAAAAAATATTTTTTTGCCAGGCAGTGGTAGCACATGCCTTTAATCCCAGCACTTGGGAGGCAAAAGCCAGGGAACATGAGTTTGAGGCCAGCGTGGTCTATAGAGCTGAGTTCCAAGACAGAGAAACCCTGTCTTGAAAAGAAGAAAAAGAAAAAAAATTAACTTATCTCTATATACATGTGTAGAAGCCGGAGATCTTGTTCTGTGGCTCTCATCTTTGAGACAGCTCTGAACCTGAGCTCCTTGAATGACCAGCTGGCTCCATCTAGTGTTGAGATTGTAGAACCACTCCTTACACCTGACTGACCTTTTAAAAACATTATTATAGTCTTTTATAAAGGACTATAAAATAGTCTTTATTTATTAAAAACCAAAGGACATGTGGTGGTGGTGCACACTTGTAATCCCAGCACTCAAGAGGCAGAAGCAGATGGATCTCTGAGTTTGAGGCCAGCCTGGTCCACATAATGAGTTTCAAGCCAGCCAGGGCTATATAAACCTTGCTGTTAAAGGCTTAAGTAAAAATGCTGCAGGTCCTTGAGTGGCTGCAGCAGGCAGTAGGTCCCGAGAGCACACCTTGGGTCCCTAAAGTGGCAGCAGACAGTGGGTTGTGGGTCTGAGAGCAGCCAGGCAGGGAGCCACGTGGTGGTGAGAGACCTCGATGGGGCAGCCAGTCCCACGAGGAGAGACCACGCCACAGGTCTCCAAAGGCAGCTGGTCCATGCGGTGGGAAAGAGACAGAGACATGTTTAGGCATACCATGCAGAGTGAGGTTGGATATTTATTTAGTGGGTTATGGAGGGGAAGGGGAGAAGAAGAAGAGAGAAACAGAAGGGGGAAGGGAGAGACAGAAAGGGAAGGACTCAGGCTAGAAGCTGAAGATCAGCCTGCCCCAGCGGACCGGGAAGGGAGTGGGCGTGTCTTGTCTTTTCTCTTAAAGGACAGAGCAGACCATTACATTTACCTCTGTTCCCCCCCCCTCCCCAAGCCAAGAGGCTTCGGAGGCGACTGCACAGGAGTCTTCTCAGGGTCAGGTACATTTGATGGGTACAGTGGTGAGGAGGCCCTCGGAGTCTCGTGTCACCCTCATCTGCTTCCGGGGCAGCTTGCAGCGGTTCCGAAGCTGGATTATGAGGATTGCCTGATTGCCTGGGGTGTGTCTCCAGTCTAAGAGGCTGAGCTTCCTCTACTGTCCCATCCGTCCTATCTCTGTCCATTGGTCTTGCTGAGATCGAGCAGGATGAAGGGCCAGACTGGAGAACAAGCCTTACAGGACCTCTCTGGGAGCCCTCTGCTGGACCACACACTTGAAAATCCCAAGGGAAGTTCACCCCAGAGGTCGCCCTCTCCACACCTCAGGAAGGTTGCCCTTGCCTTTTAATATTTTTTGAGACTTAAGTATTTTTATTTTATGTTAACGGGTGTTTTGACAGAATGTGTATGCCTGTATACCATGTGCACGGCTGATACCTGTGGAAGCCAGATCTGGGTCTCAGCTCCCTAGAACTAGGGTTACAGATGGGTGTAACTGCCATTGAGGGTGTTGAAAATCGAACCTAGATCCTCTGGGGAGCATTCAGTGTTCTTAACCTCTGAATCATCTCCCCAGTGCCGCCACCTTTTCATGTCGTCCTTGACCCTAACTGGACAGGACCACCGCAGGGCAGCCTGAAGTCTGGTCCCAGACTGTAGACTACTCTTGGTTCTTTCTGTGAGTGCTGGGGATTTGAATGCAAGCCCTTGTCCTTTTGAGGGCAGCCTCTTTACCCTCTTTACATGTCCCAACCCCTTGGACAGATGTGGTCATCGAGGCATGCACAGTACTTTTCGTGTTTCAGATTCAAGGCAAGCTCAACACGACTAATACTGACAGCACTGTCTGTCCTAAGTCCCAAGGCTGGAGAGGGAAAGCTGTCACACATTGTCATTCCCCGAGTCCCTCTGTCAACGCTGGCTTCAGTGTCTCCAGGGTATTTCTGAAGTGAGCAGGACCCAGGTGACCTGAGGGGTGGGTTTCGTGCCATGCTCTGGTACTCATGAAGACCTCCCCTTCCCTTGACATGAAGTCAGTAGCAGTGGCAGGTGAACTCACACACGGTGGAAGAGAACCAACTCCCGCAAGTCATCTGTGCACTGTGACATAGGGCACAGGAGCACATATGCACACAAATATAGTTTCAAAATTTAAAAAATCCCACTCAGTGCCAGCTTTTCTGTGTGTGTCTGTTGTTTCTTCATCGTGTGTCACCCAGTTGGGTCAGTCCTGAAGACACGCAGGTCGCAGCAACACATATGGTGCACACAAACAACACAGGGTCACCCCGTCTGTTCGTGTGCTGCTCACGATGGATCTGTGAGTCGGGGCTGCAGAGTGAGGCTTTATCTCCATGGCCTGGTAGAGCTGGCTCAGAAGTTACAGTGCTTACTGTTCTTTCAGAGGACCCAGGACCACACGACCCTCACACCCTAACTCCACTGTCAGCGGAGCCAATGCCATTTTTGTTTTTTAAGGTTTAAATATATATTTATTCATATTTAAATATTAATATATATGACTTTTGAGACAGGGTTCTCTGTGTGGTCCTGGCTGTCCTGGAACTAACTCTATAGACCAGGCTGGCTTCTACCTCAAAGATCCACCTGTCTCTGCCTCCTGAGTGCTGGGATTAAAGACATAAGCCACCATGCCCAGTTTAAAATGTGTGTGTTTTAATTGTGTGTCTTTGTGTGGGTGTGTACGTGTGAATGCAGGTCCCTGGAGCTGGAGTTGTAGGAGATTGTGAGCTACCTGACATGGGTTCTGGGAACTGAACTCAGGTCCTCTTGCAAGAGCACCACAAGCTTCTAACTGCTGAGCCATTTATTCAGCCCAGGGTTTGTTAGAAACTTGCTCAGATTGGAGATGGTTTGCCCTACACTTCTCATTCTCAGAAGTCATGGGAGGGGGCTCAGTGGTTAAGAGCACATACTGTTCTTGCAGAGGACCTGATTCCAATTCCCAGCACCCACTTTGGGGAGTTCACAACCACCTGTGGTCCCAGTTCCAGAAGATCCAGTGTTTACTTCTGGCCTCCATGGGCATTTGCACTTATAGGCATGAATCCATACATGCACATAGACCCACACACATACATATAATTTAAATAAAATTCAAAGCCAAAACACTAAAAGCTAGGTGTAGTACTGAGGGCTTGTAATCCCAGTTCTGGGAAGAGCTAGCTAGCCCAGCCTACAGAGGCCAGAGACCATATCTCGAATTCAGGCATGCTGCTGCACATCTTTAGTCTCAGCACTTGGGAGGTAGAGACAGGAAGATCTTTGTTCAAAGCCAGCCTGGTCTGGTGAGACTGTTGAGAGATAGGGGGAGATGGAAGAGAGAATGACACTGAGGTTGCACTTTGACCTCCACAGGGAACAGGTCTCCATGCAAACACGAATGCTCAACAGACGTGTGTGCGCACGCACGCGTGCGTGTGCGCACGTGCGCGCGCGCACACACAGTGGCCTGATTGGATTGGCATTGGATTCCTATATTCCTATAGGATGCTATATCTGACCCAGCCGTTTCTATCCTCAGCCAGAGCCTTTCCATTCTGTAATAAATCATTATGGTCCATTTTATGAAAATGGAGCTCGCCAGCGTATCACAGACCATGATCCAGATCTGCCCTCCCCCCCAATTGGGTCCTGTCCCTTTAAGACGGAGAAATGTAGCAGTTGCTTTTCCAACAGAGTAAAGGAAGCTGGCTCAATTTCAGAGTTGGGCAATATGAGAAAAAAAAATCCTCACTTCATATTAAGAGTGCTGGATGAGGGGCTGGAAAGATCGCTAAGCGATTAAGAGCATTGGCTGTTGTTCCAGGGGTCCTAAGTTCAATCTCCAGCAACCACATGGTGGCTCACAACCATCCATAATGAGATCTGGTGCCCTCTTCTGCATATGCATATATGCAGAGAGAACATTGTATACATAATTAATAAATAAATCTTAAAAAAAAATAAAAGAGTGGATGAGCCGAACAGTAGTGGCGCACGCCTTTAACCCCAGCACTCGGGAGGCAGAGGCAGGCGGATCTCTGTGAGTTCGAGGCCAACCTGTTCTACAAAGTGAGTTCCAGGACAGCTAGAGACACCCTGTTTTGTAAAAGAGGGGCCTATTGCTTCCTGATGATCTGTGATTCGCTGGCGAGCTCCATTTTCATAAAATGGACCATAATGATTTATTACAGAATGGAAAGGCTCTGGCTGAGGATAGAAACGGCTGGGTCAGAGCTCGGGAGGCAGGTTGCCAGGGCTGGAAACTAGCCGGTCTGTCCGACGGAAGCGCCCACCTGGTATGTCATCAAGCTAGGCTCGGGGAAAGCCCCAGGAAAGGAGAAAGCGAAGGCTGGGGCTTGGCTACGGAGCGCTCAGAGGAGAAACGCGCACTGGGGAGCTGTGACGAGTAAGCGGAACGCAGTGACCCGGGAGCGTTGCGCGTGGGTCCGAAGCTGACAACGGCCCTTTCGGTCCTGCCAGCCAACGCTTCCCGAGCGTGATCGGCGGCCCCAGGCCTGTCTGGGTCAGAGATTCTGCCCAAAATAAGAAAAAAGGTCAAACAACAAAAGTACAACTTTAAAAGATGCACTCTCATTTAAACAACAACAACAACAAGATTTATCTTTGAACAAGGCAGGCGCAGCGCCGGGGCTTGAAACATTACTTCCGTCCAAAGCCCAGCAGGGCGGACCTCGGAGGGGAAGGGACGAACGCCCAAAAGCAAGCCCCCTTACAGGCACTTCCGCCCTTTTCCAAGATGGCGCAGACGGAAGGGGCCAGTCACCGCCCGCTGGCGACGTCGCGGCTGGAGTTGAACCTCGTGCGGTTGCTGTGTCGCTGCGAGTCGATGGCGGCAGAAAAGCGGGAGCCGAACGAGTGGCGTCTGGAGAAGGTGAGGGACTCCTACGCTCCCGCAGAGGCCTCGAACCCTAAAGGCAGACGAGCCATCTCCCTGGCCACGCCCCTTCCGGCTGGGTGCTGCACTTCAAGTGCGGCTCCGCCCCTTGGCGCGCAGGTCCTAGATACCCAGGTTGCTCTCCCTGATCTCACCCCCCTCGTGCACAGGCCACTCCCTCTGTGCCTATATGCCCCTCCCCCGGTCCGTAATCCCGCCCCCTTGGGCCCACCCCTTTCTCTTGCAAGCAGTCCTTGGGGTCCTAGCCTGGCTGACACACTCCCTTCCCTCCCAGTATGTGGGTGCCCTGGAAGACATGCTGCAGGCCCTGAAAATCCAAGCCAGGTGAGTGTGCGGCACTGAGACCCTCCCCGAGGCTGCGACAGTGGCAGGTTGACTTCCTCTTGCTGCTTTTCAGCAAACCTGCCTCCGAAGTCATCAGCGAGTACTCGCGCAAGGTGGACTTCCTGAAGGGCATGCTGCAGGCTGAGAAGCTGGTGAGCCCGTCCTTCCACCCCTCGGGTCTTACGGCCCCCAAGGACTGGACACAGCCTCCAGTGATTTATCCCCCCCTTCCCACGTTCCCACGTTCCCTCAGACCTCCTCCTCCGAGAAGGCTCTAGCTAACCAGTTCCTGGCCCCTGGCCGCGTGCCCACCACAGCCAGGGAGCGGGTGCCTGCCACAAAGACCGTACATTTGCAGTCCCGGGCACGTTACACCAGTGAGATGCGGAGTGAGCTGCTGGGCACGGTAGGATTCCCTCCCTTGTCCCTGGGACCATCCTCGTGATAGCAACAGAATAGTCTGTACAGGGACAGAGATCGAACATAGTACCAAAGACCCTGGAGGGCCCACAGACAAGGCTTCCTCAGAGAAGGTGCTCAAGACATTGCTAAAGGAATACGAATTGGTTCATGGGAAAAATCACGGTGGTGGCACTGGCCTTTAATCCCAGCACTCGGGAGGCAGAGGCAGGCAGATCTCTGTGAGTTCGAGGCCAGCCTGGTCTACAGAGCAAGTTCCAGGACAGCCAGGGCTACACAGTAAAACCCTGTCTCAAAAAAAAGGGGAAGGAGCATGTCTGTTTAAGCCCCAGAGTTGGCCCCATCAGAATTTGGGTCAGTTTCTTTACAATACCTCAGAGCACTTCACGTGGGTCATCCCAAGGTAGAGAGATTTAGGGACAACATCAAAGTGCATGGCCTCATGCCTCTCCCTCTCTCCACAGGAGCCGTCTGGGGGTGAGTCATGCTGAGGACTGACTGTCCCTGCTGCCCACACTCTTCATGCCTGCCTGCTTTGATTTTCCCAGCCCTGGAAGCAGGCCACCCAGGGTCAACTGAGTAATGCCTGGGGCGGGGGGGGGGGGGGGGATGGCTGAGGAAGAGAAGGCGTCCCCAGGCCTGGCACCTTGGGGATAGGACAGGTGTTCTACAAGTCACTCTTCCTAGGACTTTCAAGTATGGTGAGACCAGGGGACAGTAGTTCATAGGCCCAACAGCATTCTGGGTAGCAGAGTTGGCACAGGGCAAGGGCAAGAGTTGGAGGTAGGAAACCAACCTTCGTCCTTGGCCTCTTTTGCTTCCAGAGCTTGAGATGGACATGAGGAAGCGCAGGTGAGTATCTTAGCCACTGAGAAGTGGGGAAAGGGGGCGCTGGATGAAGCTGGGGCCTTTGAGGCGCTGCTACATGGACCCACTGCCCACTGGTAGTCCTTTCTGGGTTGCTGTTTCTGGGATGTAAAAAAGCCGGGGAAACTGAGTCCCGGGCAGCACTGAGGGATCCTTGGGAAGGCGCCATGTGGGTGTCTATATCTCTCCGTCACTCCTGGGTACCCACTACATGTGGCGTCGGCAGAGCAAAGGGGTCCAGGCCTGCAGATGAGAAGCATTCAGCGTCTGAGCTCGACCTCGTCCTCCAGAGGCACCAGAGCCTCCAGGAAAAGCTGGCGGAGGAAATGCTAGGCCTGGCACGCAGCCTCAAGACCAACACACTGGCCGCCCAGAGTGTCATCAAGAAGGACAACCAGGTGTGGGAACACGGCAGCTCTGCCTTGGGGCACTGAGGAAGGTCTGCAGAAGAGGGATGAAATTGGGACCAGTGTCGGTGTTTGTAGGCTCAGCAGGAGTTTGGTAAAGCCCAAGGAGGGGTGGCTGAGGGATACCCCGCAGAGGGCACAGCATCAGCTTGGACTAGAAGCACAAACCACGCAGGAGGTAGTGATCACATTTGGTCCCCGCTCCTCCCACAGACCCTGTCACACTCTCTGAAGATGGCCGACCAGAACCTGGAGAAGCTGAAGATGGAATCGGAGCGCCTGGAGCAGCACGCACAGAAGTCAGTGAACTGGCTGCTGTGGGCCATGCTTATCGTCGTGTGCTTCGTCTTCATCAGCATGATCCTGTTCATCCGCATCATGCCCCGGCTGAAATAAAGCCCATCGCCAGCTGAAGTCAGCTAACATAGTGGAACCCTGATTCTATTCCCCAAAAGGCTTGTTAGCCACTTCAGCTGGTACAGGCACTTGCCACAGGGCCTGACAACCCGAGTTCCACTCCAGAGCACACACTGCAGAAGGGGAGCACACACAAAGTGCAGTAAGAATTGGGGGAAAAAGGCAAATCGAAACCTTTTTTGTTGTTGTTTTTCAAGACAAGCTTTCTCTGTGTAACATTCCTAGCTGTCCTGGAACTATCTCTGTAGTCAAGGCTGGCCTCGAACCCACAGAGATCCGCCTGCCTCTGCCTCCTGAGTGCTGGGATTAAAGGCATGCCCCACCACTGCCCGGCTATCAAAAGCTATTTAATAATAAATAATAAATATATTTAATGTAGCTCCAGGAACCTGACAGCTCTGACCTTTCAGCAGCTGCACGCATGTGGCATGCACACGTGATTAACATCATAAAAGTCTAAACATTTTTTAGGGATGGGGCAATGACTCATTGTTAGAGTGCTTGTTGCCCAAGTATGCAGACGAAGATTCGAATCCTCAGTACCCCATTGTAGGGTGCCAGGGCTGGGGTGCATGAAGCTGTGATCCCAGTGCTAGGAGTAGTGACAGGCACATCTACCTGGGAGCTCGCTGACCAGCCAAAGCCAAAACGGGGAGCATCAGTATCAAAAATTAAAAATTAAGATGGGGAGACAGAGAAAGACGCCCAATAACCTGAGCTGGCCTCTGCTTACACACAGAATCACAAGGGTTTTTTTTTTTTATTGGGTTTTTTTTTTAAGTACAATTATTAAAAAAACTAAGTCAAGCTGGAAAAACTACCCTTTTTTTTTTTCCAACAAATAGATTTCGGAAAGTGAATAGGTCTAGACAGTTCCACTAGAAGGCTGACTCAAACCCGGGCGTCAACATTTCACAGGCCCCACCCACCGCGCTTAGCCCCGCCCCGGCAGCCGGACGCCCTGGATAGCGGGTCGGCAGGCAGTTCCTGCACAGCTGCGTTCCAGGCAGCAGGGTCAGGCGCGGATCCGCGGCTGTGGGACAGGTGACCCTGAGCGGGACGACCCGGATGACCGGCGGGTGGGCGGAGGCCGGGGATTCCGCGGGGACGTGATCGTGGGCTGCGGCGGTGGGCGCAGCGGTCGGGGTCGCGCCCTTCCGGCTTCAGAATCGGGGGCGGGTCGGCACTGCGCGGCCAGCCAACCGCGTGCCTTCATGCAGACGGAGGCGGGGTGACGCCAGGGCGCCTCTCCAGCGCCCCCTTCCGGGGTGCGCGTCCTAAGGCGCGGAGTCTGGGTTGTGCGACCAGCGGACCGCGCTCGCGGACGCAAATACCCGCAGGCCCCGCCCCCAGGCGCGGTCTGCCGGGTCCTCTCGCGGCCCGCAGGCTCCGGTCCAGGCGCTCAGGCCCCAACACTGCCTGCATTTCGTCTCCCGTCGCCGGGGGGCGCCCGAGCGACGCGGCCTCGCACATGCCAGTCCCGGAGCGCCCGCAACCCCGCCCGGCGGGCCACGAGCCCCGGGTGAGTGCCACACTCGGAGACCCTACGTGGGGGAACCCCGCTTCCTGACACCCCTTAACCGCGATCCCCGCTGCTGCGCAGACGCTGGTGTCGCGAAGCCCCGTGTCTCGCGCTCGGCAAGCACAGTGCCAGCCCGCGCCGGGGGAGCTCCACAGGAGGCCCCGGAAGATCGTGTTTGCGGACGAGCTACGCCCCCGGGCCCTGCCGCACGCAGAGAAGCCTCCCAAAGTTCTGGGACCACGTCCCAACCCAGTACCTGACTATGAGCTGTGAGTGCCCTACTGTGGCTCTTTGCTGTAAGGACTTCTAGCCTAGGCTAACTTCAAAGTCATGAACCTCCTGCCCTAGTCTCCTGAGTCACCACGCTCCTGTACCCTCCATGCTTTTTAATGCCTCGGAATTAGGAAAGGTCAGGACTGAGTTAGGAAATGAGGGCATTTGGGGCTGGGGTCCCAGCGTGGGCAAAGAAAAGCCAGTTGCCATGATGGAGTGGAAAGACAGATTTTCTTCCAATCGCACACTGACCCCCTTCCAATCTGTAGTAAGTACACGCCAGTGAGCAGCAGAAGGGACCGGAGCCGCTACGCCGCTGTGTTCCAGGACCAGTACGGAGAATTCTTGGAGCTCCAGCGCGAGGTGGGGGCCACGCAGGCCAAGCTCCGGCAGCTGGAGGCCCTGCTGATGTCACTGCCCCCACCCCGAAGCCAGGTCAGCCCCGGGGCCTCTAGTGTCCCCAGCTCCCTGCGACTGTGCTTCCTCTACGGGTGGGCACTGCTATCAAGGCCATGTAGGCCCTTTCCCACCCTTCTGAGCCCCTTCCCCACCTCGCCCTTTCAGGAGGAGGCTCATGTGGCAGCTCGAGTCTGGAGAGAGTTTGAGAAGAAGCGGGCGGTGAGTGGAGACTCCTTGTGGCTGTGGCCTCTGGTCCTGTCCTGAGGCGGGGACCCTGTAGTGAAAGCTGGGATTTATAAAGAGCTGAATAAAAATCTTGAAGGCCTCAGGTCAGAATGCCAGGGGGACTTCCTCAACCCTTTCCCTCCCCCAGGATCCTGGCTTCCTGGATAAGCAGGCTCGCTGTCACTACCTGAAGAGTAAACTGAGGCACATCAAGGCCCAGATCCGAAAATTTGATGACCAAGGGGACAGCGACAGTGAGGGCTCCGTGTACTTCTGAGTGTCCTGGAGATGGCGGTGGCTTTTTGTCCCATGGGGAATCACACTCTAGTTCTTCCAGGGGAAGCAAGTCCTGCTGAGAATCCCAGAGAATAAACACGAGTTAGACAGCTCCCTGCGAGCAATTCCTTGATTTGGGGGGAGGGGGGAACACACGGACAACGAAAGGAACTATCCAAGGTCACTGGTTTCGGGCAGCAATCGTGTCGGTTTGGGGGAGGGAGGCAGATGAACATTTGGGGAGCAGCCTGGGCTACGGTGAGACTGCCCCAAACCAATCATTTCTGTAGGTGTGATGGAAGCATGCCTGGTGGTTGAGATCCAACCACCTGGGGCTTCCTGGGCGTCTGCAGGGGGTGCACCCCACATAGGTCCTCTGGTGTTGGGCAGACACAGGCTGTGTGTGTCATCTTGAGACTAACCCCGAGTCACAGGATAACAAAAGCCAGGCCAGGCGTCCAGTTCTGGCCACTAGGACAGTCAGTTACCCCTGGTCCTGGAAATGTGGCAAGTTCAAAACCAGTGAGTCCCAGATGTCTTCCAACAGAGAGAGGCCTCATGTGTGGGGTTTTACAGGAAAAGTAGCTCATAAGGCCTTGGGCATGCTAAGTGGGGATTTAGTGTGGGTCTCGACCACTCTGAAGTTGGACCCCTAACTCCCTGGTACTTTTTGTTCAAATTCAGAGATCCTCCTGCCTCTGCCCCTGATGGGATTAAAGGCGTGCACCACCACCACTGGGCTACTTCCCGTGCCTTTCAGCACTACACAGCTAAATTCACATTTCAAAGCCTGTCCCCACCTTGTCTTCTTCTTTAGAAATGGTGATTTATGTTGAGAGAGGAAATTGAATCAAGTTTACTATTCAAAAGGATAGGTTGAAGCCAGGTGTGGTGGTACTTGCCTTTAATCCGGAGGTAGAGGCAGGTAGATCTCTGAGTTAAATTGAGTTCAGGGCAGCACAAAAGGTAGGTTAAACTCTGAAAAACACCTAAGGGTTTCAGGTGTGGCTTGGTCCAGAAACTGCAAAGACGTCTTGGGAAAGCCTCTACCTGGGGCTCCTGTCTCTCCACAGGAGGCGCAGCTTCTACCCCTCTGGAGCCTGCTGGATACAGGCCAGGCCCTGGGGTTTTTCCCCAGCACCACAGAAGAAAAGGTAGGCTGAGCAAGTAGGGGAATATCTTTATTATTGGCCATGATTTCATCTCACAGTGCCCGTCATGGGCCATGTATACAGGGGACCTTCTCGGTCCACAGTACCCCTGCCCAGCTGCAGTGGCCCTTCCAGAATACCAGGCCCACACCCATCATACCAAGGCCACCACCATACTGGCTTCAGACCCTCAGTCCCACTCTGACCAGGGGCTGCCAGGAGGACAAGACTGGAGCCTGGGGGGGGGGGTTCTTTTTGGTTTCATGATTATTTAAAAAACAAAACAGACAAACATTTCAGTCTTTTAAAAAAAAGAATCAGTCTCAGGAAAGAAGTCGGGGCCTTGACCCCAGGGTCCCTGCAAGGTTCCAGCATCTGTGTGTCCTGGAAGGTGTCCACCACTACCCCGAGCCATAGGGCCAGTTGAAGGTGCTCCCTGACAGTAGCATGTCCCGGATGAGCGTCTCAATGGGTGTCTTGCCAACCAGGCGCATGAAGAAAAGCTGCGAGATGAGGGATGCTGGCACAGCACGCAAGGCTGGCAGCCGCAGCAGCAGGCGCCCAAAGCGCTGAGGCTGAGATGGGTACTGGGCACGCACGTACTCCGTTAGGGCCACCTGTGCCTTCTCCTGCAGGCTCTCCACATGGGCTGGGTCAGAAAGGCCACAAGCATCTGCAGGAAGCAGAGAGGACAAGTCACCTTTGAGGAAGCAGGGTGAACAGGCCTACAGGGGAGAGGGGCACCGATGTGAGTGGAAGCCAGGTCCAACACTGACACGTGGAGAACCCTGAGTAACCACGAAGGTTACTAAGAGAGCACTGAGACTCAGCCAGGTCCTACGGAAGGGGCACTACTGATCTGCCTCACTTTGTGGGAGGTGCCTCTCCTAAGCCACGCCCACCTGGAGGGCAGGGCCAGGCCATCCCTTTAAATTGTTTTCCGGTGGGGACTCCGCAGTTCTGGATCTGCAGTCCGTCCTGCCCTGGAACTCTCGGCACAGCCCACCGAAGGGTGCGGACTTCCAGCACTACACCACCAAGCACGTTGATGAGGTCCGAAGGTCCTCTCGGGGCCTCTCAAAACCACTGCCTACATACATGACTCTCTGCCCTTCCTCACCATGGCAAAGGCACGCCGTAGTGTGAGTGGC